CTCAAGCAAAGGCTTTCTTATTTAATTATTAAAACTAGCATTATAATGAGTTCTCAAAAGGTCTCTTTGAGATTCCTAATTTACTAGAATCTACTTGACCAAGTTAAAAGTGAAATAAAGCAACTCCCATCTCAATATGGTTTTGCCTCACCCAAAAAAGCCTTCTAATTTGACTCATTTATGTGTTAACCACCAGTTCTCTCTAGATTGAGTTACAGATGGATGGATCTCATGAAGCATAGACCAAAACAATAAATACACAATGAAAAGACTTTTGGATGGGGAAATTATGACTCTCTGAGGTCACTAGGATGTCCAGAATTGTCTCTCATGTCTCCAGGCTGAAATTAAAATATACACTTCATTTTTGACAGTATAAATGCAAAATTTCCCCAGTCCAAATAGAAATGAGCAAATCTTGAGTTCAGAAGTGAGTTCCTAGGCAGTGTATAAGTCACCTGGAGGCAGGAATCAGTTGGATCTTATTCTATCTTGAAAGGAGTAGAAAAAATTACTCCAGATGGTTATTGCCCCTCTAGCACAGTCAGTCAAAAGACCCTCTTCTACTCCTTAGAATATACGTAGTTGCCATCTATCAGCTACATTCTCTGAAAATGTTGTGTCTTATGTTCCAAAATGGTATCTCAAATGGCTAACTTATACTATTAACACAGACCTAGAGAAAGCTCATCTTCTTCATAATCTCCATCTGCATCAAGATTTTTTTTTTTTTGTCTTTTTCATTTTTATCAGTACCAGGGGTCAAACTCACGACCGCCTGCTTGCAAGGCAGGCGCTTATGCCGCTGAGCTAAATCCCCAGCCCCTGCATCAAGATTAGTAGTAGGTGAACTAAGAACCCTGCTAATTCTCAAATTAGCCATAGGAAGTAATTCCTGTATTAATGAATCTAAAAATGTGACAATAAGGCCTTATGTTAGAAAGTGACATTGGCATGGCTCTGACATCTGTATTATGTTAAAAGCCATTCTCTTCACCACTATATTATACTCCACCCCATAGGCATAAAACAAACAAGTGCCAAAAGAGAAAAAAAAAAAAAAATCCAAACATGAGAAGGTTGAAAGAGTATGTGGCAAGTGGTGAACTAGTTATGTCTCTTATTTCACAATATCTAAATGTAACTTTAAAACGGTTCAGACACCAAGGTTCACAAACACAAATGTCTACTGAGGCCAGACAGTAACATACGAGGAAAAGGACCAAATGTGTGAACAGTGGTATAAAGCAAGTTGAGCTCAAACACACAATGCAACTAAAATGTTGCCAGACCGTGGAAATTTTTTCCAGTAGAAGTGGAAAATAGAATTTTAGTGTAAAATATCCCTATTTTCAAATTCTAATTTTCATGCTTTAAAAACTTTTTGAGGGTGTTTGTAACAAAGACCTCCATGCCTAAGCACTAGAACAGGAGTTGATACAACAGCACTGAGAAGCCTTTCTGGCAGCCATTGGTTCTTCATCCTTGAGAACAAGGTACACAACTTGATCTTTTTCGTGTGGTTTTAAGGTGGTAAGGTGCTCAGGGAGTAAGGCCCCACCCCATTTTGAGCTGCTAAAATTTAACTGGTAACAGCCAGTGAGAGTATGTGAATTGTCTTTTGTCATTGACTAGTGGTCCAGATCTAACTAAAGAGAAATAAAAAGACATCTAAAAATTTTTAAAGGAGATTCGCTACCCTGAATAAAAGAGGTCCACAAAGAAGACCCATTTTGTTTCCTTCCCTCATATCTAACTGGGATACCGTGGTACTAAAAGTTCTAGTAGCCATTTCATGACCATGAAGCAAGCCTGAGGGTAAAGGTCAACACCCCAGAAGCGATGGAAAAGAAGCTTGGAAAGATTCCAGATTACTAATCTCAATGTTTCTTGTACAAAAACAGTAAAGATCCTTATTTTAGAATGATAGTAATCAACTTTCTAATACTCAAAACTGGTTAATACTCGAAACCGAATATATTCCAAAAAAGAATCTCTTATAATATAATCTCACCACAGAGTTCTGCCTTTTGTTTGCAGCAAACCTAATGAAGGAAAAACTTCTGCAACATCAAGCTCATGCAGTTAGAGTCTGTAACTAGATGTGAGAGAAGGCTCTGCCAACTGAGAACACCTACACTGTGCTTCAAAAATTTAAATCATGCTTTTAGCTTTTTAAGATGGATGAAATCCTTCACAGGATCATACAACAAGGACTAAACTGCTCTAGCAGTTGCCAGGCAACTGCATATATGCTGCCTAGAGATAAAATCCATGACCCTGTGACTCCCCAAAGGGGAGTCTTTATCCACAACTGATATGCATGTGCTCAAGCTTGACACTTTCCATCCAGCAAAGGTCACAGTGTATATCTGGGCTATCCAACAATCCCAGGCTCATTACACTGCCAACTTAGATCATTCTCCGATCACATAAATTGTGGTTTCTGCATGCAGAGCCAAATGACAAAGCAGACTGTCCAGGGACATAATTCCCTATCCTTTGGCCTGTCTCATTATATAGACTTATTGGATACCATGCAGGTGAAGGAAAAAAATACGTGAAGGTTCCTATCAGCCTAAAGAATCACTGTCAGTAAACACTTCCCAACATTCAAGGAAAGTTTGAGTCTTCACAGAAAGTGTTATGACCAACTTTAATAGTGAATTTAAAAGAGTTTCTACTTTTAACACACACACAGAGGTTAAGATATGCCCATCATTTTATCAGTAAGAAAATTTTCAAATGCAAGTTAGAGTCCCTACATTTACATTTTGTAATTATCTGTTTTATTTCTGAAAGTGAACTTCGAAAAAATCAAAAAGAACCTGAGATCAACAACTTTAGTCCCAGAACATTTAATACATACAAATTTTAGGAGTAAACACCCAAGTCAAGTTACTTGACACCTGATCTATTTTCTCGTCCCACCAAAAAAAAAAAAAAAGTTTATCCCCTAAGACAATCAAATCTTAGTCACTGTGATGACAAAGGTCCAGGATGATTTTAATTTCCACCTAATGATAAACCAAAGTCTCCATATGGTAGTGGAAATTCAAGTTCCATGTGAGCCACCCTTTTAAATCCCCTTCTCCATAAATAAACAGTGGATTAAATAGAGAAATTTTTAATCTCTTAATTAACAAGTTTTGAAGTTAGCAGTCTACAAATTCAATAAAACTCAGATGCCTTCCAACTTATCACTTCTCCCTCCTAAAGAAATGCTTTTCTTAGTATCATCAAAAGCATCCAGCAACCCATAATGTCTGCATCCCAGTTCACAGCAAAGAGGAAGCTCTAATAACCTGTATCTTTAAGGATTTTCTTAATTTGGGCAGCCCTAAAAGAAGAGCTTGAGATCGAAGGCATAGATTTGGAGTAACTAATTGGAGAAGTGATAGGAAACAGGGGTAAGAACTTAAAGAAAAAAGGGAAAACCAATAAAATATGGTATCATTGATGCTCCAGGTAACATTCTGGAAACTGTGCAGAACACACCTACCACTTCCTTCTCATTGTCCAAAGAGTGATACAATTTACCCGCACCAGCCTCAACTGGTTGAGCAATGCCATGGAGGCATTATGTCTCAGGCCAAGTCTATGCATACAATGGGAGGCTTTCAGCTTTAGAGTAAAACCTAACCCCAAAAATTAGACATATGGCTCAGCAGAACTCGAGCGCTCTGGGAGAACACAGCTGCATTGAATTTAAATGGGGCCATTGTGGTATGGAGCAGATGCTCAGAAAGCTCAGAAAGTTGCTCAGAAAGCTTCTACTAAAATCTGGATGTCAGAAGACCCCGGGATGATGCTTACTTTTGATGATTCACTAGAATGACACAGAGAACCAAGAAAAGCTGTATGTTCATGGAAATGGTTCGTTACAAGGAATACATATTAAAAATCAACAAAAGGAAAAAGTACCTAGAGAATAATCTATGAGAAACCAGATGCAAGCTTGCAATTGTCCTTTACCAGTGCAGCCACTCAGCTCTTAACTCTTTCAAACAACTATGCATGACATGGAAGCTCCACAGGGAAATTTGTTGCCTTGTGCTTTTGGGCTGTTGGCAGAATTCTAGGGTTCTTATTTCCTTATTGTCTTTCAGGCCTAAAAATCATTTGCAAATTATAAAGGCCACCCATATTTCTAGGTATGTTGAACTTACCCTTCCACCAAATCTGAGGAGTTGAGTTCTTTTTATGCTTGAATTTCATGCCTCTTCTATCATCAAATCTCTGACTGCAGCCTCTAGACAACTTCCTTAATTTTAAGACTTCATGTAACTAAATTGGGCCTACTTGGATAATCTAGACTGATTCTCATTTCATGGTACATAATCTTAATCACATATGCACAGTTCTTCTGGCAAGTAAAATAACATACTCCCAAGTTCTGGGAATTTGATTGGAGTCATTACTGCAGGGAGAAGAAATAGTTCTGCTTTCTGCTCCAGTACATTCTGCTTCCAATTCCAGGACCACACTTTCAGAACTACCGCTATACAAAATAAGAAAGTTACGAGTCTTCCATAGTACAGCCTCATTTTGCATTGTTTCAAGAGCCCACAAAACCTTGTCACTGTATCTGTTCAGTGGCCTATATTCAAAAACTAAGAGAAAGAGAACAAAATACAATCTCAAGAAAAAAAAAAAAAAAAATGAAGACTTTCCCAAAGTAAATAACCAGCTCTTACACAGTCTAGCCATTTCTTGAACGTATTCAGTGAAACTCTTGATGGAAAAAGTGAGACAAAATGAGAAATCACATACCAAACCTAGATTTAAAAAAATAAAATTTTTCCAGGGCCGGGGATTTAGCTAGGTGGCATAAGCACCTGCCTGGCCAGCACGAGGTCATGAATTCTATCAAAAAAAAAAAAATCCACTAAAATTCAACAGGTTTTTCTATTTTGTTATGGCAAGACTCCTCAGGACCTTGAAAATACAAACACATGCCGTACATTTCCAAAGGCAGAACTTCTTAAAACCATCTAGCCATGGACTGCTCTCATGGGCTTGCTGGCAAATGCAGCGGAGTAAGCGTGCTCTACCAGGTGGAAGGCAGTAACTCAGTGCCCCTACACTTTTTAGGCTCCTGCTTCTCACTTTGGGCAACAAATTGGAATCAACTATGAATTTTTTTTAAAAACCACTGATTGGTGTATAATCCCAGCACTGCAGAAGTCTGGAGTAGGAGGATCTCAAGTTCCAGCCAAGGCTGGGCAACTTTGAGACCAAGTGAAAGCTTAACTCAAAAGGTAAAGAGGACTGGAGGTGAGTCAGTCTCTGATATTGGCAAAAACAACAAACAGACAATAAATAAATAAACTGATACAAATTCCTTATGATGAATGTGATCATTATGTATATCTAAAATGTATCAATAAAATTAATTGGAAATGAATAGATAAACTGATGCTTGCATTGCTAGACTACATAGACAAAATATTCTGATATAATTATTCTGGTGTATACAGACATTTTGCTTTTTTCTCACATTCTCCAGTTGGATTTTAAGTGAAGTCAGGGTTAAGACTATTACTAAAGGTGACTCCTCTGTTTTCTTGAGTCTTTTAGAATACACAGTTGCTAAAGACAAGGAGAAAAGGCAGCATTGTTCTCTCCATTGTAACTCCTTCCCAACTAAGTTAAGGGCGTGACTTCAAATATTAAAAAAGAAGAGATGGTCTGGAAAAAAAGGGGAGTACTATCCAACTTCACACTCAATAATGCCATCCTTTCCCACCCTCACTACATGATTGTAATCTCTTTTATGCTCAGAATTTAACATAATGTTTCATACATCATAGGTGTCCAGGAGGAACTCTACTAAATGACAAAGAAGTACTCCTCAAAATGCACACAACTTTCAGTCAAATCTAAATGAAGACTCCTGTAGCCACACAAGTTGATCAAGTAACCCAGGTAGGAAATGGGTATTTTCACTGGCATGGTACTAGACACAGATAACTTAGCTAATAAATATTTGGTATGTGAATGAATAAACTTTCGCATTAAAAGGAGGGTATAGCAAGTCAATGCATGAGGTAATAGGATGAGTACTAGAAAATGGAGCCCAGAGTAAAAAGTGAATTTGAGAGAAGAAGGAATCACTCAACATACTGTGGCTTCTATTCTAGCTTTATATACACCGAAAACATTTGGCAAGCCAGTGAAAAGCACTCATAAAACCCTCCGCTGAGACAGAAAGTCTTATGTGGAAATTTGCACATCTCAGATATCTCTGTTGATCTTTGTCTTTATAAATTATTGTGAACCAAAACAATCACCCCAGCCCTATCCAAGAGTATAGAAAAAGGATTGTGTACACGATACGACTCTCCTATCTTCTCTATGATACCAATGGGGGCTTCACCACAATTGCCAATTGCCTATTTCCAGGGCCCATTCTGAGGCATCTCCTCTTCAGCAACACAGAGTAGATAGCACCAGTTTTCACATATCCCTAACAAGTATATGGTCCTAAGATGATGCACCCTGTCAAGCAGTGTTCTGTCATTTAATTCATGGTGCTGTTTATCTCAGCTGCAAGAGAATGAATTATTGGCATAGTCAGAAAGTCTTATACCACCTTTCCTCCTCTCCATTATCATAAAAGTTAAAATTATTTATTTATGAACCAAATAAGTCATCTGAACATTTTAACAATGCACTAGCACTTATAAAGATTTTTATTTCAATTTTCATACAGATACAAAGTCAAACATCATTACAACATAAGTTGCTATAATTTTTCTCAATACGTTATAAGATGTGAGATTCCATTTTGGCCTTGATCAATTAATATGAGAAACATAATGAACTCTCAGCAATCCCCTTAAGAGAATGCAAATGGGTCAAAGCAATAATTTATCTGCATAATACACAGCATTAACAAAAGACTTCCAAAGCTACTGCAATGAGAAAGAAAAAATACATACCTAGCCAAAAGCTATTAAGAAACAGCCAAAACATTCTCACACATTGTTGTTAGAAAGGCAGGCCATATGACATATCTGGGTTGCAAACTGGCAATGTGTTTCAAATGTTCACACCTTTAAAGTATTCATTCCTTAGCCTATTCTTTCAAAGATTATATTCTAGGGAACATTGAAAGTATGCTCAAAGAGAAATCTTATATAGATGCTAACTTACTGTTATTTCATATAAGGAGAAAGGGGAAAAAACAAATAAAAACTTGTCTGATATATTTTGTTGTCTTTAAAAAGGATGTCTAAGCAGTCATTAAAAAATATTTGTGAAGAATTAATTCCTAGAAAAAAGGTATAATATAAAGTTAATGGAACAGCAACACTAAAAGAGTCCAGGCTGTTGGATAGGAACTCAATGTTTCCAATATATTTATAATTCCTATTTGTATATATTTATATATTGGCATATTTTTCTATACAGAAAGTGATCAATAATTAATTTTTTAATATTGAAGTGGAATATACGTATATAAACATAAAAGTGACCCCAGACCACTTATGATGTGACGTGCATGCCCTAGTGCCACCAGGACCACCACTGCTCCCTGCTCCTGGGGGACCCCCTCCACCTCCTGGAGCTAGTATTGCTGTTGACCGTTGGCTCCTACTCCTTCTCTCAGAACCTTGGACTATCATGCTGGCTCGATGGGAGACTCAGGAACCCCTCACACAAACAAAATACCTCAGCAGGCTCCAGTCAGTGTAGTGACTTTGTCCCTAAAACAGAGGTCTGCAGCAGGTGAATAGGAGCTGTAGTGAAGCTCCCTCCAACTGTAACACATTGGTGAACCTGGCAAGAGGTTGGGCGATCCCCTCCTCCACTCAGAGAATATCAGACAGGTTGAAGAGTGTACCACTAGACCTTCCCCAACTTGGAGAAAATTAAAAGAGCTTATGAAACAACCAGTGACACAGTAGAGCCTCAGCCAACACAAACACTATAGACAGGAAGATCTGGTGACCTGCAATAACCTGAAGACAGAGCATAGCAGGAGCTCAGAGTTGACCTACATCAATAATCCTAGGATAGTTAGCCCAGGAAGAATATAGGGCTCACCCAGCAGGCCCTGCAGGGGAAATTCTGATGACTGGCTCTCCTCTTCATTGTGATACCCAGTGGGCTACAGGTGAAATTAAAGAATAAATAAAGCAATATTTGCAATTCAACGAAAATATGGATACAACATACTGCAACCTGTGGGATGCAAAGAAAGTTGTCATAAGAGGAAAATACATAGCAAAAAATTGTCACATCAAGAAGACAGAACGAACACAAATAAACAACCTGGTGCTACATCTCAAGCTTCTAGAAAAGGAAGAGCAAGTCAAATCCAAAGCTCAAAGAAGAAAGGAAATTGTAAAGATCAGAGCAGAAATTAATGCAATTGAAACTAAAAAAAAAAAAAAAGAATTAATGAATCAAAGAGCTGGGGTTTTTTTCAGAGAATAAACAAAATTGATAAACCTTAAGCCAAGCTATTCAACAAAAACAATGAAAAAAGTCAAATTCACACAATAAGGACTGTAAAGAGAGAAATCACTACAGATCCCATGGAAATTCAAAAGATCATGAATACCTACTTTGAAAATCTCTACTCACATAGACTAGAAAACACAGAGGAAATTGACAGATTTATAGAAACATAAACTACTAAAGTTCAATCAAGAAGATATAACAGTTTTGAATAACCCAGTACCACCTACTGAAATTGAAAATGTCATTAAAAACTTACCAACAAAGAAAAGCCCAGGTCCTGATGGATTCATAGCTAAATTCTACAAGAAATTTAGAGAAGATCTAACATCAATTCTCCTTAAACTCTTCAATGAAATCAAAAGAGAAGCAATCTTTCCTAACTCATTCCTGGAGGCAAGAATTACTCTGAAACCAAAACCAGGGAAACACCCAACCCAAAAGGAGAACTATCGGCCAGTCTCACTAATGAACATTGATGCAAAGATTCTCAATAAAATACTGACAAATAGAATGCAGCAAATCATCAAGAAGATTATACACCATGACCAAGTAGGATTTATTGCAGGAATGAAGGGATAGGTTAACATACGCAAATCAATAAATGTAATACACTACATCAACAGAGCCAAAAACAAAAATCACACGATCATCTCAATAGTTACAAAAACAGCTTTTGATATACTTGTTCATGATAAAAACCCTACAGAAACCTGGAATAGATGGTATCTACCTCAATTTCATGAAGGCCATCTATGACAAACCAACAGCCAACATTATACTAAATGGACAAAAACTGAAAGCCTTCACTCTAAAATCAGGAACAAGACAAGGATGCCCACTATCACCACTCCTATTCAATATAGTTCTGGAAATATTAGCCAAAGCAATCAGACAAGATAGAGAAATAAAAGGAATAAAGATAAAAAAGGAGATCTGCCCCATGTTGGAACTTAGGGCACTGGGAAACCAAGCAACCAGCTCACCTCCCTGGTAAGGGGCTGTGATTTGGGCAAGCTGTGGCCGCCCTAAGACAAAAACCACCCAGCGTCTCCTGAGATCTGTGCCATGTTGTAACTTAGGTCACGGGAAAACCAAGCAACCAGCGTGCCTCACTGGTAAGCAGCTATGGCTCAGCAAGCTGAGGCTGCCCCAGGGCGAGAACCACCCAGTGTCTCCTGAGACCCATGCCATGTTGGAACTTGGGGTGCTGGAAAACAAAGCAATCAGCTCACCTCCCTGGTAAGTGGCTGTGGCTCGGGCAAGCTGTAGCCATCCCGGGGCGAGAACCACCCAGTGTCTCCCATGATCCATGCCATGTTGGAACTTAGGGTGCTGGGAAACCAAGCAACCAGCTCACCTCCCTGGTACTCAGCCATGAGTCTACCAGCACATGGGCTGAGAATCAAACATCCCATTCCCCTGCCCCCATTCTTAGCAAATGGGAGCCAGAGATCTCAGCATCTCTTGGGAGGTTGACTATACACAATATAGCTAAGGAGGATTTCCTTCTAACCATCTCTTTGAAGGCAAATATTTTTATCACTGTTTTGCTTTGTTTTGATTATTGGTATTGCTCTAGTCAATATACTGGTTTGAGAAGGTCTACAATGTTCTGTATTTCATTTGATTTTGCTATACCTGATTGAAAGAACAACTATTGTGAAAATAACAAGATATACTACAGTACCTATTATTCTTATACCAGTAACCTGCTGTGAAGTTATATACCAATTTCACTATACTGTCTCAATTGGCTTTGTTCCATCTTATTCTGTTGTATTTTACTACATTCAATATAATAAAAAATTAAAATAAATAAAAAATTTACAAACAAAAGATAGGAAAGGAAAAAGTAAAATTGTCAATATTTGAAGATGACATGATACTTCATATAGAAGACCCAAAAAACTCCATTAAAGGACTACTAGAGGTAATAAACAATTTCAGCAGCATAGCCAGATACAAAGTCAGCACTCAAAAATCAATAGCATTCTTATACACAATCAAAAAACTCACTGAGAGAGAAATTATAGAAATATCACCTTCCACAATAGCATCTAAAAAAATGATATACCTAGGAATCAACCTAACCAAGAAGATAAAAGACCTTATATGCTGAAAATTCTACTACTCTAATAAAGGAGATTGAATGGGATATTAGAAAATGCTTTTGGTTAAGAGTCAACATTGTAAAAAAGGCCATACTCCAAAACTGTTATACAGATTTAATGCAATCCCAATCAAAATACCATTAACATACCTCACAGATCTAGAGAAAACACTTCTAAAATTCATTTGGAAAAAGAAGAAACCTAGAATAGCAAAGGCAATTCTGGGAACAAAGGCAAAGCAAGAGGCATCACAATTCCTGACTTGAAATTATACTACAAAGCCACAGTGATAAAATCAGCATAGTACTGGCGAAGAAATAGACCTGAGGATCCTTAGAACAGATTAGAAGATACAAACACAACCACAAAGATACTCAACCACCTGATATTTGACAAAGGGGCTAAACATGTTCACTGGAAGAAGGATAGCCTCTTTAATAAATGGTGTTGGAAAAACTGGCTTTCCACATGCTGAAGACTGAAACTAGATCCATGCCTATCACCAAGTCAAATGGATAGAAGATCAAAATATTAAAACAGAAACACTAAATCTACTGGAACACAAGATAGGTAGAAAACATGGAGACATGGGCTAGGCAGAGAATTCATGAACAAAATGCAAAATCGCACAGGAAATACTTCAAAGAATCAACAACTGAGATCACATCTTACTAAAAAGATCTTATTCACATCTTATTCAAAATAAATCATCAACAAAGTCAAAAGAAAACCCCCAGAATGGAAAAGAATTTTAGCCGACAATCTCTCAAAACAAAGGACTTATATCCAGAGTATATAAACAACTGAAAAATATCAAGCCCCCCAAATTCAAAGACCCTTTTCAAAAGTGGCCATCTGTGATGAACACATATTTCACAAATGAAGATATGTAAATGGCAAATAAATACATTAAGAAATGTTCACCCATCATTGATCATTCAAGCAATGCAAATTACAACAGCACTGAGATTTCATCTCAGTCTGGAAAGAATGGCTGCCATCAAGAATCAACTGATAATAAATGTTGGTGAGGTTGTGGGGGGAAAGGAATGCTTCTCCACTGTTGGTGGGAGTGTAGACTGACTGGTGCAGCCACTATGGAAATCAATATGGATATTCCTCAACAAACGAGGATTAGAAGTTCCATTCAACCTAGCAATTCCCCTTCTGGGTATTTTCCACCCAAAAATTGAAAAGGTCATGCCACAGTAATATATGTGCACCCATGTTTATAGCAGCACAATTTTTAATAGCTAAATCTTGGAAACAACCAAAATGCCCATCAACTGCAGAGCTGATGAAAAAGATGTGGTATTTTTATACAATGGAATATTACTCAGCTATAAAAAGGATGCTCTTGAGGCCTTTGTAGGTAAATGGTAACTTGAGACTATCCTCATAAGGGAAATAAATAAGTCTCACATTAGTAAATATCATATTATCTCTCGAGTGTAAAAAATAATAAAAACTGAAAGAGTAATAAGAACCAAAATATATAATAGTTACTGTAAAAATGAAAGGGAAGGAAAGTTCCCTAAAGGATACATCTATATGGATATTTAAGTGTGTAACATAGATGACCATTTTACCAAGTTTCCATTAGATCACTGAACAGAGATGGTTTGCACTGTCAATGTTTGAGTGTTCACTTTTTATGCTTTGATTTTGTAAACTGAACTATTTATAAGAAGACAATATGTAACTTATCACTAGTAATTTATTAGTGTCAATATTTTTCTTTGAAATTATGTATTACTTCTACCCTTTTTCTGTTTTGTATCATTTTTCTTTCTTTTTTCTTTAAATAAAAAAATAAAAATGAAATATCCCAAAATCTTAATAGTGGTTATGGCTAAACAATGAAATTACTGGGATATTTATTTTGTTCCTTACCTTGCTCTATATTTTCTAAATTGTATCAATACTTATGCTATTTTATAATAAAAATATAACATAGGCTAAATAAACCCATTACTATTCTGAGTACTTTAGTGACACCATCACTCTGCTGTTGGATATCTGCCTCCTTGTTTAGTCTCTTCCAAGACCCAAAGCCTTAGAGTCTGAATCATTTGGATTTAAACACCGTCTACTTCCAGTTCTATGAC